TTGCCTGGCACGATGCCACCAGCGACAGCTACGACAAGGCCATCCGCTTCCTGGGCTCCAATGACGAGGAGATGTCCTACGACAACAACCCCTACATCCGAGCCCTCCTGGACGGCTGCGCGGTACGTGGTCTTGGCCAGTCCCTGCAGAAGGGGTTGGTCCTGGAGATGTAGAGTTGACTGTCCCCCTCCTCTGGTTGCCCAGCACCTTCTGCCTCTGAGCAAAGCACTTCCAAATTCCCTGTGCTCGCTGATGTAGTTCTCCTGAGGATTGTCCCCAGCATGGGAGACGTTGAGCTTTCTATTCCTTATGCTGGGAATACACGATGCTGCTCAGAAGAATCTGAGCAGAAGGTGAGGGGAAGCTGCAGCGCCCTTAGAAAACAGATTAATTTGCTTTATTGCTGGCTGTGCATAAAGGAAAAGACCTGCCTGAAACCACCCATTGCTTTTAAATGTCCCCCCTTGCTTTGCCTTTACTCTGTTTTCTCACACAGGGAGAGGCAAGTGATGGCACCCAGTTGTGTATGAGTTTTGCAGGCTTTGATGATAATTTTTTTAAGTGATTTCAGGAAATTTTGGAGGAAAAGCATTAAGGGTTTGGTATTAGGTTGGTTGGGGGAAAAGGGTGTTGCATCATGCTGATGTGTGCAGCCCCAGGAGGGTCTGGGCTGTGCTGGGTGCGAGGAGGTGCCCAGCTCTGGTCCAGCATCCCCTGAGCTGCTGGAGGAGCCCCAGCACGGGGCTTTGGTTTGCTCTGTGCCTGCAAAGCCCCTGCTCCTCCTGGGATCCTCCTGTTCCCCTGGGAAAGGACAAATCAAAGAAATCAAAGCAAGGCCTGACTCCATAGCAAGATGAGGTGATGCTGTGGAAAGGTGAAGGTTCGCATCCCTACTCCCATTTCAAATGCAACTCGTAGCATCTTTCTCTCCATCCCTGCTCCCCAGGACTATTTTACCCAGAGAAGAGGCAGGCATTACGCTGCATCCTCCCTCTCCCCACACTGCTCTTTGCCTTTGCTGTGGCCACCAGCGACAGCCAGAGTTTCCAAAGGGCCCAGCATCCTCCCGTTACTTCTGCCACCTTCTTTTGGGTGCCTGATTTGGGACTGAGCTCTGAAAAATCTGCCCTCGGGAGCTAAAAAATTTGGCAAAGCGGGTGCTGCTTGCATTTATTTCAAGCCCCAGCGTGCTGGGGAGGAAGCGTGCATAATTCTCACCCTTCTGCAACTGCAGCGCTTGGAGCCCACGGGACAGAAAGATTGAGATGTTTGACAGAAGCCCTCCACATAATTTGAGAGGAAAGTGGTGCTGTTCTGGCACAGGCACGTTTGCTACTGTAGGAGCAATGAGGAAAATCAGATTAGAATCACCCCCTTCTTTTAACACCCTCTCGGAGAGGGAAAGGGCACCCGTCCTGCTTCTGGAGACACTCAGAAGCCACGTGGGGAAGTTTATCCTCAAGTACTTCATATCTCCTGCTAATGTAATGTGTCCTCAGTAAAAAGTACCTTCTCTTCCTTTTCCCTCCTTAAGCCTCAGGGATGTTGCAAGATCACACGTTGCACATTTTAATGTGCTGAAAACCCTTCTGGGTTAAGTGATTTGGCTCAGGTGCCCTGTGTCCCTCTCCCTAACGAGGGATATTTGCATGGAAAGAGGGCAGTAGCTCCTTCCAGTTTATTTGCTCGGTTGCTTCTTGCAGCCAAGTCCCTGCACTGCAAATAAAGGAATGTGGCAAGAACAAGTCAGTGGGAGCACCAGGAGAGGCTGAACAAGCCCCAGTGTGATGGTGGGGACACAGAGATGTCATCTCCCATCTCATGGCTTTGGGCATCACTTCCAAACCAGCATGTCCCAGTCCTTCCTCTCAGCTAGAGGCATTCTTGCAGGCTATAAAAAGGAGGCAAAATATGCCGAGGGAGCTTATTGGAGCCTTGCAGAAGGAGGTTCTGCATCTCCTGTATTCTGGGCCGTCTCTGGTACCCTGGTAGATCATCCTTCCTGAAAACCACAGGCAGGATATTTAAGACTGAGCCCTACCATGTGAAAAATGAGGTTGGGCTGGCTGACGTGGTGTTACTGCAGAGTTCCTGGTAGGACCCAGGCTGTGATGGAGGGAGGCTGCTGTAGCCGGCGCCGGAGGATCTCCAGGGCTAATGTTTGGGTCATTATTTGAATGTGTTTTTCCTGATCTTACAGCCCTTTCTCAGTAGCTGTGATACAGCTTATTCTACCGAGAGACACAAATCAGAGGGTAAGGTAGAGCCAAAAGCTGCTCCATAAATTCACTTGTTTGTGCAGCTTTGTATGCCCTCGGGTGCACTTCTGCTCCTCTAATAAATATTTATATTTTGGAAATAACGGTATGGCTACCAGGCACGATAAAAAGACAACATCACCTTGTGAATTCCATCAAACTTTAAATGTGATCTTTTTGGTAGCGCTCGGATAATAGTCAAACTAATATATTCAAATTAAATCACTCGCATTTGCTCAACAACCCATGCGTGTCCTCGGGGAGGCAAAACAACTACACCACGGCCACAACAATTTTACCAGGCTCCTGTTGCAGCTCTGAGATGTGCTGTCAGCAGAGTTAGTGTCTTTAAATCTGCGTGGCAGCAGCTTTTTCTGCTCCAAAGTCTGGGTTCGGGACAGTCATCTCCCAGGGGTTTGCTCAGTGGTCACCATCCCACTCGAGAGCATGTCATCTCCATCTGCAGGGCAAATGTAGGGTGTTTGGGTGCTGGGTGCTTCTAGTTCAGCTCAGAAAATGTTTGGGTGAGATGGTCAGTGTATTCCCAGCAGACTGGTCAATGCTCATTCATGACAACTTGCTGTGGTTGGGTTGGAGGTGTCATCAGAGCTCCTCTCTCTCCCTCTTCTCCCCGTCAGGCAAAGAAGGGCTATCAGAAGACCATCCTGGAAATCAACACGCCCAAAGTAGAGCAAGTACCTATAGTCGACATCATGTTCAATGACTTCGGAGAAGCGTCACAGAAATTTGGATTCGAGGTGGGACCAGCTTGCTTCATGGGCTAAGAGCCACCTGAAAACTAGTCTCCAAATGAGCAACCTCGTAACCTCATTGCGCCATTTAATTAATTAAAAGAGAAAAAAAAAAAGAAAAAAAGGAATTCCTTGTCACATGCACGTTCTGAAACTGGACAGCGATGGGTTATTTTTTTTTTTCTGTTTTGTTTTGTTCCTCGTTTTGCCCAAGTTCCTCTGTGCCACCAACCCACACTGACCCAACCAGAGGACCGTTCCCGCAACAGATGCAGAATCTCATGACCGACCGCCGCACGCGTGGCCCGGAGACCTGTCCCCACGCTGCCACCACCGCTGCTGCTCCACAGCCACCCAGCAGACCCCACCGCCATCAAAGACTTCTTCTTTGTCTTCTTCTTCTTCTTGCCATGAAGCAATACCGAGCGCTTGTCTATACGTGAGTTTGTTTGTTTGTTTCTAAGGGAAAAATGGAAAAAACTTGAAACTCCAGTGTTCAGCTTTGACGTTGAAGTCCCAGCAGTCCTGGCTCCAACCCAACCCCTGCCGAAGCTCATCGGAGGAATTTTGTTGATTTTCACAAGATTTGGATCGGCTCTTGCAAGCAGATGTCATGGCCACTGCCAGAATTTGTAATATCTCCGTTGAATCGCGCAATTCTACGTGTTACAAAATGGAACCCCATGAATTTGATAGCTAAAAAGTCACACTGGGCATCTCTTTCCCATGTATTAAAGGTGCTTATATTTTTGTATGTTTGTAAGTAAATATTTGTATTGTATATTATTTTAAATGTCTACATGTCTCCGCCTTCAAAACATGCATGTGACCCTGTTTGTATTAAAACCACCGCCCTTCCCACCACCAGCCCAGCCTGGGGATGAAGACCGTGGCTCACGTCCCCACCATCCCTGTCTCTTCCCAATCCAAACCTGGATCTGGAGGGGCTTGGAGTGACACATCTTTGCAGGATGAGGGCCCAAGATGCCACAGATGCCTTTTGGAATTATTTGCTTCAAAATAAGGAAATTAAGGCTGCTTTTAACAAGATTTCTGCAACTCCCTGATCTAAAAGCAGGATCTGCATTGAGTCTCTGCCTTTTTATACACTTGCTTACCTTAACACACGTGTTTTAAATTAATTCTTCTCTGTTTTTCTTTGGCGTTCTTTTAAAATAATAATAATACTATAAAAAAAAATCCATTCCCAGTGGCAGATTGCAGTGGCAGGGGAAATCCGTTTGTCCTCTCTGAATATAAAGTGTAAAAAAAAAAAAAAAAAAAAAAAGGTGCTTTTTATTTTTACATGTCTCTGTGGTGCTATCTATTTGAAGAACTTTTAAGACAACACTGGTGATACCCTGCCATTGGCCAATCTCCCACCAGCCTTTGCTTTTTAGCCACTTTCAACACAGACTGCAGGCTTTTGCTACAGTCCTTGATTATAAATGCATGCCACCTTCCTATTTGTTATGTAGAAGACCCTCTCCTTTCCTTAATCGTATTGCGGTACCTTATACGGCCCGTGTAGAAAAAAAGTATTAAATGTGCTTATGTCTTTTTTTTTTTTAATTTTCTCCAAGAATATTCATGCATTTTATCCGGTGGGAACCTGTACCAGATTGTACTCAGTCGCTGAATGTTTGTGGTGCTAATTTCTGGATCTGGTGGCTGTCCTGACGCGATGCTGAAGCCGGGTGGGTGCCTCCTCGCCCGGCGCTCCCGGGATCTGCAATTTTCCTGGTCTTCCCACAGTGGCTCTGCCAGGATGGCTGCTTTTCTCTTTTTTTTTTTTTTTTTTCCTCCACGCAGCATTTTCGGCTCACAACCTGCTGACACCATCTTCTCCTTCCGTTTGTTTGTTTGTTTGTTTTTTTTCCTCCCTGGCCGTTTCCCTTGGTTTAGATCTCTCGGCTGGAAAATAGATGTTGCAGGGTGCTTTTTTTTTTTTTTTACTATTATTATTTGGCCTGGTGTATTACAGCTTTTTTTTTTTTTTTTTTTTTTTTCCTCCACGCAGCATTTTCGGCTCACAACCTGCTGACACCATCTTCTCCTTCCGTTTGTTTGTTTGTTTGTTTTTTTTCCTCCCTGGCCGTTTCCCTTGGTTTAGATCTCTCGGCTGGAAAATAGATGTTGCAGGGTGCTTTTTTTTTTTTTTATTATTATTATTTGGCCTGGTGTATTACAGCAACGCTTGAGCCAAGGGGGATCTTTTCACCGTAAAGGAAAAGACATCACATTTACTGTGAAGAAAAGCCTATATATGATGTCTTTTCCCTCTTCCTCCCCAAGCAGAGAGCAGCAGCAGCCCAGGAAGGGAGGCCAAGCCGTGCTGGAGGCAGCGGCGATGCCGCGCGGTGCTTTTCGGTTCTGGGAGAGCCATGTCCATCCCTCTCCCTTCTTCTGTTGTCTTCTCTCATTTTTGTTTTTTTTTTTTCACTTAGGGGAGAAAAAAAATCAAAAAAAAAAAAAAAGGTGCTACCCTAAAAACTGCAGACTCCGGCGGCAAAGCAGTGAAAAGGAGTATATAATAATTTATAGGGGAATTCAGCTTCTTGGTCACCTTGGCAAGAGCCTTGTTCAGGAACGGTGGGAAGGTCAGAAAAGGTTGCACGTTCCTCTCTGCGACAGATAAGCCATATATTGATGTATGTACACACGTGTGCGTCTGTCTAGGTCATGTGATTCTGTTATAAATTTTCATCAAGGGAGCTTTTGTCTTTTATTTTTTTTTTTCCTTTTATTTCTTTGCTTTAAGAAAAAGAAAAAAAAAATTCCTCTGTTGAATTCCACAGTGTTGTAATTGTACTGAGCTCCAAACTGTTCCGATTTCCCCAGACCACTTAGCTACGGTATATTGCAATAAAATTACTACTTGTATTTGCAGACATTCTTTTTGTGTAATTTTATTTCCCTCCTCCCTTAATATATATGACTTGAACAAATGTTGATAAGAAAAATAAAACCTATGGAAAAAAATTTTAGTACATAAGGCCCTTTTTAAAATATAGTGTCGAATGACATATTGTACATTTCTTCAAAGTCCAATAAACATGTCATAAAATTTAAGTGTAATGCCCATAAGAGCTATTTTTAAATATTTTAAACCTGTGTAATAAAGGAATAAATGTAATAGATTTTTTTCAATAAATCAAGTTTACTGTTTCCACCTAAACCACCACGATGTGAATGTCTTCTTGAAGTTGATTGCAGCGTGATTTCCCCACGACCCTTCTGCTCAGTGGAGCCTGAAGAGTTCAGCAGAGGAGCAGTGAAAGCGCTTAAAGGTAATACACACTGTAAAATAATACACCAAACCCATCAGAGAGAGAACTTCCAGGCCTACAATCTTTTTTTTTTTTCTCAGTGAGAAACTCGGATGGACCCAACGGTGCAAAAATCCAACCCGGGGACTTCGGTGGCTGGAACTTTGATGAGAAGATCAGGTGGCCACCAGCTCTCTGCCTTCTCCATCCCAGTGGCAACAGCACCTCAGGAGTCTTCACTTGGCACCACAGCCTTTGCTTTGAGTCATCTGGCCCCAAGATGAACTCAGGAAAAAAAAAGCAAACACATTTCTCCAGCTTTTTGGTGAGCTCCTCAACCCCAAACTCCTGTCTTGGCCCCAGGGCACTGCTGAATGGACCTGCTGGGGGAGGCAACGTGGGGGACACTTTGCTCGTGTTCTCCTTATTATCTCCTGTGGGTTTCACTCCAGGGACTCGCAAGAAGACGACGGCTCCTCTGGAAACTGCCATAAGAAATTCCCTCCATCTGCCTGCCCACACCAGCCTCTGCTGCTGGATTTGCATCGCTCTGGTTCTCAGGGGCTTCTTGCAGAGATCATTCGGTCGGGGCTGCTGGTTCACAGGTTCAGGAAGATGCCTGCACCTCGAAAATGGGCAACCCAGCAGGTAGGTACCATTCAAACACACGTGTGCACAGACCCCACCTCTGCACAAAGCTTTGTAATGTCCACACCAAGCTGTGCGTCCCATCGGCCTCCCCATTCTTTGGCTGCAATTAGTGGTAGATGTCTGATTAACAGAGATCTTCAGCTAAGGAGCCAAAGTTCTTTAGTCCAAGTATAAAATCAGCTTATAGGAGTAGTTTTGGCAAATCTTGGGATATTATAGACAAATCTTTATCCAAATGGACCCCAAAAATGCAGAGGTACCACAGCTGGGGGAAGAAACAAGGGAGAAAATTAGCTTTAATTACTTAAACCTGGCTAGAAAGATGTAACTGGGATCCTGATGCTTCAAGGTGACACTAACCTTGTCCGTGCTGACTTGACAGTTGTGATTTACAGTGGATCATTGCTGGTTGCAGCAAACCCTTCTAGCAAATGCCTGAGGGTCTCACTGCCAAGAGGAGCTTTGATCTGCCATTAGGAGAAAGCAGGGATCTGAGCTAGGATGTGACAGTTTCTGGAGCTGCCACAGACACCGTGGCATATTTTTCACCTCTTTTTGTATAACAAAAAAAAAGTCCTCGATTTGATGCTAGGGCTACAACGCAGTAACTCTGTCTGCTAAATGAAATACGGAGGGTAATTTATTGAAGACCCACAAGAGAAAACAGCAGCAGATGATTGAGAGGGAGCGTGAGCGCCCACAGCAGCTCCCTTTTCTCTGTGGAGGGGGTGAGGATGGGACTCATCTGCTCAACCCAAACTCACGCGCACCCCAGGGGCTTTGTCTGGGTCTGGTCCCGGTGCAGGGGCTGCCTCCCCCAGCCTCGGGGGGTGGTGCAGGATTCACAAACCCTGGGATGCAACAGGGAGAGCAAGAGGACCAAGCTCAGCACCCACATGGACCAGAGCAGGGCTCAGCCCTGGTACAACCTGGGGAGTAATAGTTAACCATGTGCAGCTGAACCCAGTTGAGTTTCCAACCACCTTTAAAAGCAGCCGAGCCAGCCTGGGTGGGGAAGGTGTAAGGCTGTTAGTGTCTGCTCTGCTTGTGATTTATTATTTTTTTTTTTCTAACAGGTAGGGGCTTAACTAGGCTGGATTTATGCACTTCTGTGTGCTAAGAAGGAAGGCGAAGCCTGAAGAGTTTTTCCCATCCAGTTACCTGAGCTGACCCAGGCATGAGGATATGTACGTTTGCTTCCCAGCTGTTTCATAAGGTAAACCATGAATTGCTGTGTGACTTGATTTCTCCAGTACAACGTCCCTGTGTTTGTAAGAGTAGGCAGTGGGGCAGAGAAAAGAGCTTTCAGCATGTGCTCAGCCACGTATTAGCCACCTGAGACTCCCCTGAGAGGTTACTTGAGTTACAGGAGGTCACAGGGAGTGCACCAACGTGCACCCATTGCTCACGTGGGATGAATCAACCTAGAAGGAAAACTGGGAATGGGTGTTTTATACAAAGCATTGGGCTTCCTTAGTGTGACTAAAGCTCTCCTGGAAAGAGAGAAACAGCAAGACGTAGTGGGAGGGGAAGGGATGTGCCTTTGCATGAAGACAATATGTAAAGCATCAGGTAGAGCAAGGCTTTCGCAGTGTGCAAGACAAGCTGAAGCTATTTTCATTGTTCAACTGCTTTTTGTCCAGCATCTCCTCCCCAGCCGGGCCTGGTTTGACTTGGGTTTTTTATTAATATCTTAATCAAAAGGCTAGAGCTGCTCTGACCCACAGCTCTGGGGGGAAAAAAAAAAAAAAAAAAAAAAGAGAAAAAAAACCCTGTGCATGATTTTCTATGAGAAAGAGCAAGTGAGCTGGAGGTGCCTCCTGGCAGTTCACCACCACCCGTAAATTAAGCTGCAGAGTCTCCAGCAAAAGCTAATACAGTGCAAACCAAATGTGTCCCCTCTTTCTTAACACCTCGTGCAGGATCTCTGCCTCTGCAAATTCACTGCTCTGGCTTTCCTGCCAGCCAGGCATTCCACCAGACAGACAATTTCCAGAGTTTTTATTTTTTAATTTTTTTTTTTTTACTATGGGTGACCTGAGCAGGACAGACCGCTGCCGCATCAGGCTGATCCTTGTGTCACTTGGCTCTGCAAGGCAGGTGTCCCTCTGCCAAGAGCATCACGTCCCATCCTCTGCCGGGGTGCGGGTGAAGGATGCAGCCTGCAGCAGCAGCGGTACCCAGGACCTTCACTGGAGACACTCAGAGATGTCTCAGCTGCAGCAGTGATGGGAATTATCAGCTCAAGGGCTCTCAGCTGTGCTTGGTCTCTGCAAGACCTGACAATCCCAGCTCCTACCAGTGCTGTGTGACCAGACCCCTTCATTCCAGAGAGAAGCTGGATTTCACCCAGCCAGGTCTAGGGTCTGCCCAGCACTGCAGGGAGTGGTGGGGCAGGATCCAGCCCTGCGGCCCCCAGTGCTGCTGAGGGTTGAATCTGAGCTCATCTGACACATCCACCTCTTCTGCTCCTCCATTTTGCTCCCCTTACCCCTTTGCTTTGCAAGAGCAGCAGGTAGAAGCAATAGTTTATCATAATTACTCATAAATGATGGTGTCACCACAGTGAGGACTTCAGTTTTCTCCTTCCTTTCTGTTTTCTTGAGCTGTGTTTTTCTCACTGTCAGGCAAGAGCAATCTTTGAAGCCAACGTGGGCTGATGTTCTGTGCATCTGTCACTCGATCTTCAACCAGCCCTGCTCTCCTGCCATTGTGCAATGGTACAAAACCCCAGAGCTTTAATGCTTTTGAGGCATCTGGCTTAATCCAAGTCCCGATTTCAACTGACACTAGAGAATATAAAAGTACAGCTTCATGACTTGAGCAATGTCAGGAAAAGACAAAGCTTGAATTCCAGCCCTGGCATTCGGTGCTTACGGTCAAGTGTGGGGATGGCAATAGGTCTGTGCTGCTTCCCCTGGGCTGGTCTCCATCTCTCCTCCAGCATAGAAGGATGCTGTGCCGCAGTTAGTGACCCACTGGGGAGGGATTGTCACTGCAAAATCACCAGCACCGAGCTCTGGTCCACCAGGATGGTCCTGCAAATGCACCTTTGGATCGTTACAGCCTTGGAAATAATTTGATTCATCCCTCCCTTGGTGCTTCCAGATGCAGGGGATGGTGGTCTCTCATTGAGGAGAGCTTTAGTACCAGCATCTTCTCCAGGCACATAATCAACCTGCTGCATTTGGGGCTTTTGCTGCTTTTTCCCCAAGTCACAGCACTGAAAGCTGTTTTCGCTTTTGATCTCCAAAGCAGGGGGAGTGTTAATGTGCTGTAGTTTTATTTATGGCACCTATTGCCATTTCATTTATTCCTTGTAACTTCTCCGGCTGCAGATTTTTTCCGTCCTGGGGCATCATGGCAGCAAAGTGATTTTCTCCAGAGGCACAAGCTCAATAGTTCAGACAGGCCCTGCGTGTTTCTACCTTCGTAGCAAACAAAACTTAGCAATTTATGCTTGTATTTAATGGGTTTTCTCAAATAGCCCAGAGCAGAAATAAACACCCCAAAGAAATCAAACACATGAAAACCCTAAAGAAGAAGCTGGTTGGTTTTTTGTTTTTTTTTTTTTCCTTCAGAGAGAAGCCAACACAGTTGTTTTTTAAGAGATGCATAAGTAAGAGAGCTCTGAAGCGCTGAAATTACATCTTGTAAGGTGCAGGCTGTCACGCTCAGAGGCACCCCTGGAATCGCTGCTCGGCACAGCTGAACACAGAGAGCAAATGTGCCATCTTCGGGCCCTGCACTGGGACATCATGTTCTCATCCTGACTAATTATTAATATGTTAATTTGAAAACGAGATGTTCCTCTTTGCAGAAAAATTTCTGCACGGCGCTTGGCTTTTTGTCAGCTGCTCCTTAGCTCGGCAGATTTGCCTTTTTCTCCCATTTTCTTGGCATAGGCAGGGCGGAACTGTGGGATGCGCCCAGGGGACCCTTCCCTGAGCACCCCGGGGTGGGGAACAGAGTTACCCACTTTGGGTGAGCATCGTGTTGGTGCTGACTGCAGTGTGACCCTGGGGACATCCCTTAACATAGCTGAGTGGTGGTCCCAGCCCTGAGGATGGGGACTGCTGTGGTTGTGCCATTGCTGGTGCACACAGAGGGAAAAGATCCCTTGACTGTGACTTTTTAAGGGCAAAAACTTCACCTGGGAGGCTCAGCAGGGAGGGATCGTGACCTGGTTGTTTTCTTGGCATAGGCAGGGTGGAACCGTGGGATGCGCCCAGGGGACCCTTCCCTGAGCACCCCGGGGTGGGGAACAGAGTTACCCACTTTGGGTGAGCATCGTGTTGGTGCTGACTGCAGTGTGACCCTGGGGACATCCCTTAACATAGCTGAGTGGTGGTCCCAGCCCTGAGGATGGGGACTGCTGTGGTTGTGCCATTGCTGGTGCACACAGAGGGAAAAGATCCCTTGACTGTGCCTTTTTAAGGGCAAAAACTTCACCTGGGAGGCTCAGCAGGGAGGGATCGTGACCTGGTGGTGGCATATCTTCACCATGGGTGGTCTCCTGCTCCTGTACGCGAGTGTGGTGAAGATTCATAGAATGGTTAGTGTTGGAAAGCACCTTAAAGACCATCTAGTTCCACCTCCCTGCCCTGGGCAGGGACACCTCCCACCAGACCAGGTTGCTCCAAGCCCCCTCCAACCTGACCTTGAACCCCTCCAGGGATGGGGCAGCCACAGCTTCTCTGGGCAACCTGGGCCAGGCTCTCACCACCCTCACAGTGAAGAATTTCTTCCTAAGATCTCATCTCAATCTCCCCTCTTTCAGTGTCAAACCCTTCCCCCTCATGGCTCCCCTCCTTGACCTCCTCCTCCCCTCCAGCTTTTCTGGAGCCTCTTTAGGGACTGGAAGGGGCTCCAAGGTCTCCCCGGAGCCTTCTCTTCTCCAGGCTGAACCCCACCAACTCTCTCAGCCTGTTCCTCCCAGCAGAGGGGCTCCAGCCCTTGGAGCATCCTCATGGCCCTCCTTTGGCCCCGCTCCAGCACATCCATGTCCTTCTGCTGTTGGTGGCCCCAGAGCTGGAGGCAGCACTGAGGGGGGGTCTCCCCAGAGTGGAGCAGAATCCCCCCCTTGCCCTGCTGGCCACAATCCCCCCCCTTTGCCCTACTGGTCACGCTGCTGGGGATGCAGCCCAGGATGTGGGGGGCTTTCTGGGCTGCCAGTGCACGTTGCTGGGTCATGTTGAGCTTCTCATCCACCAACACCTTCAAGTCCTTCTCCTCAGGGCTGCTGAGGGTTTGGGCGGTATTTGTGCTTGGGATTGCCCCGACCTACGTGCAGTGTTTTGTCTCTTTGGGATTACAGTGATAATTCACATCCAAACATCTGCTGGGGACTCCTGGAAAGAAGCTGGGGTTGGAAAAACATCTCCCTTCAGCCCCCATCTCTCCAAGAACTGAAGCTTCTCCTCTGCAGGTCGGCCCCCAGCCCGGAGCTGCTCCTTGCCGCTGATGCTGAATTTCAGGAGAAAACAGGAGCAGCCACCAGAAAAAAAAATTGCCCCTTTTTAAGGTTTTTCTTTCAAGCAGGCTGATCAGAGACCCTGTTGAAACGGAAATCAAAAAGCTGCCAGACTTGAAACGTTAATTAAGATACACAACAGGGAGAGAGGGGGAGAAGGAAGGCGGGGAGCGTCTATTCATGAATTATCTGCTCTAAGAGGAAGCGTTTGTGTATTCGAAACGCATATATCATTTTGGTGGCGAATGAAAGAAATTGAATCAAACTACACAAGAAGTTTGTACACCACCCTGGATTTAATTTTCAAACTTGCATTGGGCAAAGATTAACCTTGCTGAAGGGCATTAGCGGAGCAGGCAGGATGTGTAAAAATTAATCCCTGCTATAAGTTTCTCCAGGAGGAAATACTAAGCAGTATTAAATATTTATTGTATATAAATACCTTCTTTTTCGCCCCCCTGCTTTCTTTCCTGTATTTCAGTTGCTTTTTCTGCCCAAGCCTGCCTGCCCAGCAAAGCATCACGCCTGGTTCACGCTGTGGCCTGGACTGCGGGTGCCTTTGCTGCACAATACAGCTGCTAATCCATCCATCACTGCTGAAAAATATAAATATTTTTTGTAGGAACCACTGTCTTTGAGCACAGAGGGATGCAGTGGGACCCATCCCTGTTTCTACATCTGCAGCTCTGGTGCCCGGGAGCCTCGTGGCTGATGTCCCCTGATGTCCAAGGA